CCCCCCCCCCCCCCCCCCCCCCCCCCCCCCCCCCAATTATCCCTAATCATGACTGAAGTCAATAAAAGAAAAGTCGTCGGCATATTGTCACTTTTGAGCTCAAATAAGAAAATGTGAACTGATGAACTCGTAAGCTCTTGGTTAGGCAACAAAAAAAGGCATGCTGGTCAATCGGTCTTGGCGCAATTCCGATATAAATAGAACAGGGGAAGTTTAATTGCACCTCCACAAATCAAGTTGCCCATTGTCAATTGAAAAGACTCCAATCATAAAAAGGGCATAAATTTTTCATTCCCTCCTCTACCAACCCAGAAAATTCAAATAGAATTTGAGTAGATGTTTTGTGATCAGAGAGAGAGAGAGAGAGAGAAAGAGAGAGCGAAATTATAAGAACCTACTTATGAAACGAGTGCCCGCCTGCCAGAACTAATGAAATTCAGAAATTCAATTCCCCAGAACACAAGGGGAATTTCAATTCGAGGTGAGTAGAAACGGACATGGAGTACGATTGATTGTGAATGATAAAAGCAGAGCATAATTTTTTCGCCTAATAGATGATCACCCCACTGCATTTCTTGTATTTTCAGGAAAAAAAAACAGAAAAAAATATAACTGCACTCAACTACTACTCGACAATTTCCAAGAGCCAAAGTGAGTATTGCCTCCATGGTGAGAAACCCAAGTAACTCTGACCCTTGTATTATTGATTGATTAACCAATTAGGACGGTTGGTCATGCCGATTCACTTTTCATTCCAAAACGGGTCAACCTACGCATAGAAGAGCTGATTAGAGACCTTCTCAACTCCTATCTTCCACATTTTGGCAGTAACTCACTTGACTTTTCAAACAATTAAGAGCTCATTAACCCCTATCCAATTTCTAACCAATGATAATTAAATAAGAAAAAAAGAGAACATTAAGAGATGCATAATAACACATTAACACGGATTCAGAAAATTATTTATGTCGAAAATTAAATTAGATCCAAACCAAAACTAATGTGAAAAAGAAAGGAGAAATTTAAAGATCCACCAATCGCCCGGAGTGCGCGTTTAGACAGAAAAGGCTAAAGTTTATTTTGACAAGGAATGTGAAGAAAGTTCTTTATGATTGTTTTCATTCTTGGAGTGATTGATGGGATAGCTAGGTGCCAATGCCTCCCCGCACATCGATGTACCCCCCTCCCCCCTCCCCCGGACAAAATGTATCAAAATCAAACAGTCAAGAATTAAGGCCATTTGAAACCGATTATGTGAATGACTTGAATGGATACGGAACCCGTTGTCGGATTCCATGATCAGCACTTCCAACTGCCAAACAAACAAAAGAATGAGATGGCTAAATGATCCACCTCAGGACAGCTTGGCTACGCACATCGATGTACCCCCCAAATCAAAAATCCAAGGAGATCTAATGATGAGACACAAGAAGAGACGTGTTGAGAATAAATGTGTCTGATAGGGGGATTTCGCTAATAAATATACACTTCGAGCAAACAAAACGAATTTTAGCGAATTTGCATAACTTTGCATAATGCCAAGGGGAGACGGTTATCTCCAGAACAATTATCCCATAAGAATACAAAATTACAGTTTCTTTGCCAAATTAGTTTTAGGTGAAAAAATGTGCGAAAAAAAATGGAAAAAATAAACGATTTTAAATGTTTTTTTTTTATTAATGAAACGGCACCTTAAAGTTTATGAAGCGATGGGAGGAGGCGAAAATAACTAAAGAAAATAGTACATTCTAATTAGAATCTGATTTTTATCCGAAAAAAAATTATTAATTTGTGCACTTTAGTTGAAAACTAACGATGAAAAGATTTTTAAGTTTGCCCGCTTTCACGCGTCTATTCTCTGAGCGTTCAATGCTTTATAGTCATAAAATTGACATTTTATTGGGGATTAATGTATTGAAACACACATAAGGTTCTCCGAAAAATTGCTTACTTTTATAAATTTTTCGAACGGTTTTAGCTAAGAGGGTCAGTTACGTCCTTTATGAAATTTCTCTCTCAAATCCGTGACTTCTTAGCTGGCAAATATGCAAACTGAACGTTACACCACTTGTAAACAGGCTTTGAAACGTATTGGAAGAGAGAGATAGGAAAAGAGGTTCAACAATTCAAAGACGTGTTTAAAATCATTAGACATCTTGCTCTACATACAAGTGTATTCCGAAATGAAATTCCGCTCCAATAGGAGGGATTAATTTAAAATGCCTCCGTTAAAAGTAATCAGGAAGTGGAAAAAGCACTCACTTGGCAACCAGTGCAAGAGTAGACAATAGCAAGTCGAGATGCAATGTGTTTAACACCCGAAGCGCTAGACCGTACCCTTACAAATACTCGAGCGTAGAAATCGATAGAGAGCGAGAGCAGGGGCTCAATGACTTTGTCATGACGACTTGCTGCCTGTTGAATTGCATGCAGAAGTAATCGTAGTCCCTAAAATGTGCAATATGTATAGAGCTTACTTAAATTATATCAGTACAGTGGTATATATGATAAAAAGAGGCTTGTATATTTATAAATACCTGTTCGTGTTGAGCAGTCATCTTGATGGCCACTCCTCCGTACTTCCCATAGGCTGTACCAGGAGCACTTCCACATAAAACAGCCATGTCAGTGCAAGTGACACAGAGAAGACCGCCATTGAAGAGACACTGGACGGCAGAATCAAGGAAAGGACTGGCTGTACCATAAGGATCGATATCCACAACGTTAAACCTGGTTAAAAGATAGAACGTTAGAATACTTCCAGAAATGTCATAAAATTTGGGTGATTTGCTCAGCAAAATCTAGCACCAATTTCCAATAAAGACAGCTTCCCAAGTTCTCTTAAACTGAGGCCTATAATGACCCACCAGATATCAACTCGTGGCTGAAGTACACCAGTTAAAACTTAAAGAAAATCTCTATTAAGTGCTATTTAGTTCGCTCGCATGTAGAGAGTTACGAAATAATGCAGATGAAATTGCTAACACCGAATCATTTCCAAAAATATCGGAAGGTGCACTTCAATTGGGGAAGTATTCGAGTATTACACAATACTCAAATAATTAACACTACCCAAATACTAATATTCGAGTCATACTTTCGAAGAACCATGACGTATGAAATGCTTATTCGCGGCAGTGGTCTGTGAAAAGCAACACTCAAGCCTCAACAACAAAAAATTCATCCTTAGACTACTATGTTAATTCGCCCTAGTTCGATTTCAGTAAACTTCTTTCGAGTCATCGGATATAGGAGAGAAAAAAAAAGGCTCATGGAGGCAAATAGATACAGATACCGAGATGTGAGCAGTCTAACAAACTAGATTCACGTTTTATTCTTCAAACTGTGAAACCTTCCAGAAACCTAATTTCTGCAAGAACAGTAAAATGTAACCTTGACAACTGGATATGAATGAAAACAGAAAAGATAAGCTTTTGAATTATCTAAGAACGTACAAACAAGTATAAAAAGCTATTTCGATTTCGAAAAGTAACTCCCTATGAAGAAGTCCATACCTCTCAAAGCTTTGCGGAAAGCATAAAGCTCTGAAGAGCACAATCAAATCATGCACAAATTAAACTCATGGTTCATGAATAATGGAAACCTCAATTGAAATTTCACGTCACGTATGAGCCTCCCATTATAAATAAAGATGATAAGTAATTTGATGTTTTATTTGGAAAATAAGAAACTCCCTCCAAATTACCACGGTCCAGACAACCCATTCAGACGCATAGAAGGATTAATGAAGATTGATAATGGGGGTAACCGGAGACGGGGAGTCATTAATGCATTATTTTTACTCGAAAAAAATATTTAAAAAATATTACTTTGAAGATTTAATGCAACTAATACATCTGTGAATTCCTGTAGGTAAGAAAAACTACTAAGACGTCAAGCACGAAAATAAAATTAATGGAATGAAGGTGTGGATAAAAATTTAACTCACTTGTCTTTGACAGCATCGTGCATTAACTTGACAGCATCGGAACAAGATGGTCTGATAATATCCTCAACTCCATTCAGTTTGGCGTTTTCACTTATCAATTTGGCCGCTTCTGGATCCAGGTCATTCGTTACGATTTTATGGAGCATTGGAATTTCATTTGCAAATCGGACAGATCGAAGACCAGATGCCCCCAGGGCTTCCAGAATTGACAGTCCGGAATAATTAACTGATTTTGGTTGAGTATCACCTGCTGTCTTTGTGGTTTTGTTAATAAATTCTTGCAAATGTATTTTTGAAAACTGTTTTATTACAGCTATCGTGAGATCCCGGTTAAACTCTTGAACAGGATTGTAGAAAACGCCTTCAGGCAATTTGACCGTAGCTGATCCTTCTTTGACTGTCATTATTTGTTTCGGTGTTGAGAATTGTGATTTAAAAGCGATCAATGGGATAAAACGTAAATCCGACGAGGCAAGCGACAACCGCCTAATGAACATGTGATCGCCGAATCATATCTGGCGGATGTTATTTAGCAATATCAAATCAAATATAACACATAACTTAAAAATATCATTAAATGTTCTGCAACTGTTCGCAAATATATTTGCGAATGTTAATGATCATTTAATTAAATATTTAAATGTAGGTTAAATGAAATATACATCAATCACGTGAGCTTGAAATCGCTTATAAAAGTCGGCTAAACTGTATCTATGACTACATATTTGAGTTTTATTTCTATTTCAATTAGAATTAGTAGAACGTTAATTTTTCTGTACTGGATATCTCATTGTATTTGCATTGCTATTCGTATAAGTTTCATATTATTTGTTGAAACTATATTGTGTAACTGTTAATTAATATTTACTTAAAATCAATTTTACGAATAATGGAACTAAGAATACTTATGCATGTAACACAAATCACTTACACTCTTACGCAAATTATTTAAAAACATTTATTCCGTTTTATGGTCATGATTATTTATTACTATTTCATTTAAATACTGAACTGTGCTAATTAGAGTATCATACTCTCCACGTCTGTAATCAGGTGACGAGTTTAAAATATGGCAGATGAATTTATGTTGATTATAGAAGTCTTTTAATTACAATTCCTTTTTCACTTAAGGAACATAAGTGAACAACATAATAGTTGGCCCTTCGAATACTATACCATCTAACTTAGTCGAAACGTTGTAATATCTTGGCTATGTGGGTATGTGTGCATCATCGTATGCCTGCATGTCTGCTCGCCAGGATTGGGAGGTGCGCCGTACAAATCTGTGTGCAGCGACCGTACAAACGGTGACCAATCATCAACCTCTATTTAACCTAATCCCCCATCCTGATCATGAGTAGCTCCATGCGTGTACACACTTGATCCGCAATACTCGTACTGAATAAACGTGCTCCGTGCTACACGTCTGTTTCCTTTATAGCCGGGCTATAGCTTAGCTAGTTTCGGGAGTCTAGCTAGATGTAGGAGAATCTGCCACGGATATTTCTGAGTCAGTCAGGCTTTACTAGCGTAGCAATCCGCTAAGGTAATTCGAAGATTATTAGGATAATTTAGCTGAAACATAGTTTATTTTAATACAAAGCTATAAATCCCCTAACAATTTATTCAGATTTACGGAAGGTAGGGGATTTTAATAGTTTTATTGTGCCATAAGTTATCGGAAAATTAGGCTTTTATACATTGAAGTATGTTTGGCAGTATTCAAGATTGAAACCACTCAGTTTTCTTAAATGAAATTTGTGCTTCTCCATTATATTCGAAATATATAACATGGTTTCAATAATCAATATTATCATTAAGAAGCTCAAATTTACCCTTGAAACAAAATGTATTAACAATAAAATATCAGTTCTGGAATAGCATATTAAAGTAGTAAACAAGGGTCATATTTAAAAATATCTATTTATTAACAAATGTAAGTATTTATCAATTCACGATTATTACAATTAACTAGAGTTATTTAATCCAAACAAGACTGAGTAGCTGCGCTTTTATTGACCTGTTGAACGCAAGGCTATCAAAGTTGAGCAAAGTAATATCATTCGGTAAAGTGCGGATGTACTTGCAGAAACCCCTCAGTTTATCAGCGGCCTCGTTTATTCAAATCGGTATAGCATTGAGTGCACATAATTACTAAGTACATTGGTAGTCAGCCATATTTGTGACAAAAGTTACCCACTTTTTAATTCCTGGGTTCTCGCTACTGTTGACAAAGCTTGACCAATTTTTTAGCCCATGTTTATGCGTGATGAGGCTTACCCATGGGCCATTCGTGTGGACCTATTCCATTAAATGAAAAAATATATCTACCATAGAGTATTACTTGTGCCCGTAGGAAAGTCATCTATTGTTTATAATTTAACAGAGATTTTCTTTAATGATCACTAACCTTGGTTCAAATTTCGATCTCGTATACAAATAATAAAAAGAAACTATTTGTTTTTTTTTCTTGGATTGTTTCCGTATGTTTAGCAGTTCGTTGTTATAAACGTTTGCTTGGTCTAAATACTTAGTGAAATTCTGAAAGTGTTCATTCGTCTTGAGAAATCCAACTAAATTAATTGGAACTAGTTTTCTTCTATGCCTCGGATGACGATACGGGTGCCGACGTTTACGCTTGGCTAGAAATTCACTGAGTGATAATTGCATCGGTTCGTTTTGAAGGCTGTAAATTAATCCCATTTTTGTTGATTGTAATTTTTAAATATAAATTTCCACTAGCATGTGATTTGAAGAAAGATTGCATTTGTAATATGCCATTAACCGTGGCCCATGGGAAGGAATAAACTATCCCCAGTGTCGCTAGAACAGATTATAAGACCATTACTAATTTATTATATTTATAAGTCATCGTTGCATGAAAAATCGTCGATTTCTCCGCCTAGCCATTTACCCCTCTGAAAAATTCGAGTCACGCACTTGAATCGCAAAGTTGAAAGAGGGGGGGGGTGCCATTTCAATGTCATGACCAGTCAAATACTTACTCGAACCTGCTATGACTAATTTTTCGCTACTTTGCAATAACGGGGTGTGCGATAGACTTACCTCCATGTGGTGCACCCTGGGCAATGTATACCCATACGGCAAAAATGTCTATAACCTGGCAGTTGACTTCTGACTTCAAGCTACCATCACCCCACTGTATGTCATATTCGACATCTACCACAGTACTCACCTCACCTTGTTTCTACCTTCGTCTTGGAAACACTCTTCTGCCCACCCCCCCCCTTCTCGACTTTTTTCACTTTGATGTTCCTCCTCCTCTCCCATCTGTGAAGCCTGAAGTCAACTAAAGGGCTAATGATAGCTATCAAAACGCCTACCATTTGATATAAATATAAACTTTGCAATAATAATATCAAGTAGAAGACGTTGTCAAGTCCGTCTATTAGCACTCACGTATTCCAAACTAGGCACACATGTCCCATTCAAACAATATTTTATAATCAACGGGGTTGTATGTGGTACATACTCCAAATACTCTGCTTACAGGAGGCACAATGGCGAAGTTGATGTGTTGCGTATGATATCTTTACCAAGGCAGGGCAAAGCCAATGGATGTCACGAAGGCTCAGAAGAAGTACACTATTTCGTTCATTATCATTATTCCACTGAAAAAATCGAGTCACTCATTGTAACATTTCTTCTTTTTAAAGGCATACAAATGGTAGTCGTATATCACTGGTGTAGATACTCGTTGATTATCTGACACTGTGCAAACGGTGAATTAGTGAAAGGGGTCATTTTAGTGCAGGAGGTGCCCACAAAAAATGAACAATAGGAAAGGAATTTGAAAACAGAAATGAGTGGGAAATTGGAGGCAGGCTCGCCCACTGATTTCTAATAATTCTTAAGCTGCTAAATAACTTTTTTGGCTTATGTTCCCATGGAACCTATAAAAGTGTTTGCATTCGTATTTTGTATCGAAATTAATATTTTTTGAGTTAATTCAGCTAAACAACGCTCAATATTTAAGTACTTTGCATGTACCTGGATTACCATCATTGTAAAACATGTCAATTTATAAATTGCGAGTACACTAATTACATGCAAGAAAGTTCAAATAAGGGATGAAAATTAAGGGTTTTTAATAATGGGTGATAACTACCCTTGGCACCTTAATAAACACATTTGTTTCTGAATTTAGCATCCATCAGGGCATCTAATTATCAACAAAGAGGCTGAGTTAATTGCTGTTAGATCCGGCATTCCGGCGTTCAAACCTCTCTTTTTCGTGATTTCCAAACTTCTCAGTTCCATTCCACCTGAGCAATAATGACCAGTAGATGTAATATAAAAAATCTCCATGCCTATCAGAAGGAGAAGGGTAATATTAATTTTGGAAAGTGAGCGACTAAATACAATGTGCCCTAATCTAAGTACCAAATAAATTAAGACTCTTTTCCTACCCTGACCTTCACAATCCCCGCCATTTCATGCCATCTAGTTTATTTACCAAGACATTGCTCTCTAGGAATTTTCTTATTATAATTAATAACGTAAAGTAAGCATTCTCTACTAGATTACTTCAATTAGTTCATTTGATTAGCAAAATGAAAAATGAGTGGTGCTGGCGCGTCCCAGAAAGTCACAGCAATAATTCTGTCTGGTATAGTCTCTTTATTTTGTTTTGGAGTTTCAATAGGTCTTCTGATACAGTGAACATTAACCAACGATGTCTTGCAATTATTTTAAGGATGTAAACACCTTGGTTCAACCAAGATCGTCATAAACTGATGTGTCTACTTATGTTTTGTATAAGTAGTATCTGCCAGATAAATTACTTCATTGTCCACCAGATCAAGAAATTAGCGTTCGCATGCAGAAATAATGCGCAATACACACTTGGCTTGTGTTTGCCCTCACGCTTGGTCATACACGTCCCTCCCACGGGCCAATCATGAGCGCGCATCGCTGACTAACACCACGCGCCTGTCTGTCTATCGATTTGCTGCATCCGAAAGATAACTAAATTCGTTGCCAAGTCATAATTCGACATCACCTCTACGAGCAATGAGTTTTCCAAACCCTGACAAATCGCAAAGATTTAGTAAATCTGAGGTCAGAAAAGGAGACTAGAAGCTTATAGTTCAATAGGGCAAATGCGCTTTTTTTACTTTCATATGAGAGATGCAGAGATAAGAGGGAATATAGATCAGAGACTTTAAAAATCAGCGTTTACTCTTGCTGAGTGCCCGAGTGTACTTTCCTTGTATGACGTTGGTGTCATAAGGTAGAGACTAGGAATAACCCGATAATTAGTCGTGCCAGAGGAATCACTGAACCCAAAGAATCTTAATGAATAAGTGTTCGAAAATGCATAAAATGAAGAAACGATGGTGCAGACAGTGTTAAAATTGAACCACTTCTAAATCATAAATCACGGGGTCGATGCCCATCGTTTCACTTCCGATGATGTAGGTGGCCGACTACATTGATTGATTTCTGAGTCGAGAAGAGAGATATCCATCTTCCATTAATGGCTCCCAAGGCCTAAGTTAATCGGATCTTACAGTCATATGAGTAGATACTAGTCAGTAAAAAATCGCACTTCATTACAGTTCGATTTAATCTTACGAAGCATTTCAAAATCGTCACCGCAATAGTGGAAAAAACCTGGAAATACACCAAAAACCGTAACGCCTTATACCAAGAATAGGTACACAAATTACAGCTTCAAGGTGCTCACAAACGAGACCCATTCCGAACGTCCCTGTTTCCACCACACCGTACAAGACAAACCAATCAACCTAGAGGACATTTTCGAACTTTGCCTGATTCATGATTGACAACCAAGATAATATAACTAAATGAGAGAGTAAGCTAACCACATTCTAAGCAACTGCTAAGTGGTAAACACGCCGAAAAAATAACCCAGGCCCATAATTCAAAAAAACGAAAGACAATAACATTTACACGTATAGTATTTATAATTGTCGTGATTGAAATAATTCAGAAATCAAAGTGTTCTTATTCAGCTCCATCATTGTTTTCGATCTCTTCTGGATCAGAAGTCCAAAGAGCGAGATTGTCGCGAAGAAGTTGCATGATGAGTGTACTATCTTTGTAGGACTCCTCATTGGCATTGTCAACATCACTGACAGCATCATCAAATGCTTTCTTGGCCAATTGGCAAGCCCTATCGGGGCTGTTCATGATTTCATAGTAGAATACAGAGTAGTTCAAAGCAAGACCAAGACGAATTGGGTGGGTATAGCTGAGACTTTCAGCGATTTTTGTGGCATCCTCGTAAGCCAAACGAGATGCTTCCACAACAGCCTTGTGCTCTTCGCCCTTAGCATTTTCAGCCTTATAGCGATAATAATCACCCAGCATCTTCTTATAGAAAACTTTACCCTCAGCATTTGAGCACTTGGGACACAAACGCTCATCAATCAATTTCTAGTAAGAATTAAAAAATCAGCAAATATTAACAACTTACAAGGACATCGGTGCAAATATCATTGAGCTCCTTTTGAAGAGTATCAAGGTACTCCTTAGTAAGATTCTGTTTGTCAGCATCAGTAGTCCTGGAAAGACGGCTGGATAGCACTCTGTATGAGTTACGTCGAGAACCAACAACATTTTTGAAAGCAACCGAGAGAAGGTTCCTTTCCTCATTGTTTAATTCCTGATCAAAATTTGTCACCTCCTTCATACAGAAAGCCATATCATCAAACCGTTCAGCCTGCTCAAGGCATTTGGCGGTGTAAACAAGGGACTCCCGATCACGTAAGGGCAAATCCTTAAGCCATTCCGTTGAAGAGACATCAACCATCATTAGTGCAACAACGCAGAAATTTTGAAACAACGCCGACAATTTATTTTAAAGACGTAACCTTGGGTAAAGCAAGATATTGGGCAGTTTGTTGATTCATTATATATTATAATTTATATTTATACTAAAATTATTAAAATTAGTATGCCTAAAACAAATGAAAATCATACAAATTGTATACTTTTGTTTAATGCATTGGAACTGATCATGAATGCCAAGGTCCTCTTGATGATCAACTCATCAGTTATAAAACACATATTTAATTACTATGACCAGCATATGATTATAATTTTGCAAATAAAATTATCGCGTAATATTTATTAATGGATAATGGAATTTAAGCGATGGCGCAAACAAATCAGGATTAACAATATTAGATTGTGGCAATCAGTAAAAAATTTTCTTACGGAAAACCATTTATTTCTTCTTTATGGCTTAGTAGCAATTAATGAAGATTTATTATAATCCATCCACAACATTTGTCAATATTCGCTTGGTGTTCTCCGTTTACTCAAACGGGATTGTAAGATTTTCTAACTTTATTTTAAGCATATAATACAAAACGCTAAATAGAAAACTCAATAGTGAACTGCTAAAAATGAGAAGGACGTTGAAGTGCTTTACTTTCACAATGTCGGTTAATTTAGTGTAATTTGACTGGTAATGGCTTGTCAAACAACATAAGTTATGAATCTATGTTTGAGCTATGGAATCGTTGGTTGAATAATCTTGAAGTTCTATCATAAAGTCATTCATTACTTTCAATGTTATCCAACTACACTATTCAAAGAATGCTTTCATTTGACGTCGTTGCATTGGGAATTGTGATTTTAAAGCAAACTTAGTTTTCAATAAAGAAAATTAGTGGAAATTTGCTGATAAGCCTGCAATTCTCTTAACGTTATCGAAAATATTTATGAAATCAAATGTTAAGAATCTTCGTATATAAATTAGCAAAAATCATTGTACTCTTGATTTTCTTTCATTAAAATCATTTAATTTTAATTATTTATGATTTAGTTGTTTCCTTCTTATGATTCAAATTAATAATTATTTTGTTTAAAGTCTTCAATTAGAATTTACAATTGCGATGACAATTGAATACCGGTGTTTTGACTTAGGGTCTGATAATAGTTTTCAGAATTAATAGTATTACCTATCCTTTTATAGTACAATCGGGCGTCATCTAGTATATTTTATAATGAGTAATTCGTTGAGAACATCTGTCACGCGCAATCGTAAAAAGTCTGGTGATACAGCAACCACTTCCAAAAAAGTTTCCAGAAATAAAATGTGAGACTTGCCACTCAATCTGGGTTTTTATTGAAAATTTCTCATTTATATTTGTATATATTTATCATACTTTATAAGTATGATTTGCTAGGCTTTTTTCTTTTGCCAAATATATATCTATTGATAATTTGACTCACTATTATTTTAGTGGCAATCACTCGTCTATGTTAAAATATGGCAGCAGAGAACAAAGTGCTTCTAACACTTACAATCCAAGTAGTGAGGTGTCTTTTGAAGATTTTTCTTCATTTGGTTCTGAAAAAGAGTCAGAAATTGATCCGAATGAAAATGAATCGACGGTTTCGCCCTCTTCTAGCTATCGAAATCTCCAAAATGATCAAATCTCAAACCACGAGAACGCTCTGCAGTTATACTCTGAGGACACTCCAGTATCAATTGAATCACCATTCCCTCCCGCAAGTAGAACACAATTGCCAGTTTTTGTAACTAAACCACTCACTCGGAAAAAACTCTCGCTTAATTGTTCTAGAAGTATTTCGAATTCATTAACACCAGATAATGGAAATAACCTGACTACTGGTACTGAAAGTGGAAATAGCCGATCCGAGATTGGGATTGCTGACTTAGCCGAAGCCTTGCGCCTACTGTCTCGAGATGCGAGATTTCGTAGTATTCGACCTCCTTGGAGAGATCCAAACTCCCGACCTCTGCCTAGTGATGAAACAGCCTCTGTTGAAGCTATGCTGAGGGAGTACAATCAGCTTTTGATCAAAGCAGCTTCTGAACCAAAATGTCCCGCTAATTCTAAAATTGCTGTTAGAAGACCATATCATACTACGCTCAATAGGTGGCGACAACAGGAGCGAATTCAAATGGAAAATTTTGTAAATTTCCTTTTTCCTCTGATTATAATTCTTATTAGTATTTGGCTGATCGTCTGCGCAACATTCGCCCAAGTCCCGATATTTCTCGAGATGTGCTTCTAAACCGATATAAACAGTATTTCGTCACCCCTGCTACGCTCCAATGTACCCTTCCTTCATCCCATGATGCTGATTTGTCTTCCTCATCAAGAAGTCGGCCCCGGCAATTATCAGCGCGTACAGTATCTCGGGGTTCTACAGGTACATCACGTCCACTTACTGGAATGGCCTCCTCAGGTATTTATTCTACAAATTTAGTAGTCCAATTTTGATATCAAACAGTAATTATTGGTTAATATATTCAAGATCGCACACCTGCAAGGCTTTCCACTCGCGATGATTCACCTCCTATTCCTGCACCCTTAAGACCTTCATCTCAAGAGCTAAATGGAATTAACACACCACATTCCCAAGAGGTCCTCAATAGACTACACTCGGTGAGGCAGGCACTTCATGAGCATAGATCGAAAGAAAAGTTGTGAGGGAGTGATGAGCTGATTGGTGATGAAAATCGTGTTAATTCAATGGTTCATTTCCTTAAATTGCTCACTCCTGTCACCATACTTTGTGCATTTGTACATGGCCGCTAAAGAGCTGAAAATAAAAATACTAAATATTTTTCAGGATTGCAGATTTATTTTATTGACGTATGGCATTAGGTGTTGCGCTTCAACCCCCTTCTTTAGCTAGCAGAATTTGCGATTGGACTTTTCATTTCCTTTTATTCCACTTAATCTCATCTCAAATTTCCGCCTAAAGCAAATTTGAATTTGAATTAAGGATTTGAATTTTGGCTGCATTAATGGATTCCTGACGAAACTTGCTCTTTCATTAAAAGACATCCAGTCAAGTTATTCGATTTACTTGAAATTCGAGGTACCGTTTAGACTCCGTGCTTGTTGTTGTCCTTATTTGAAGTGGAGGAACTATTGTCGTAGTTTATTTATTTCAAATGGCAGGCATTATGATAGGTATCATTAGCCCTTTAGTTGACTTCGGGCTACACAGAGGGGAGGAGGAACATCCAACTGGTAAGAAGTCGAGAGGGGGAAGAATAATGATTCACAGACGTAAAAGAGACAGACGGACACAAAGGTAGAGGAAAAGGTGAGGTGAATACTGTGGAATTATTCGAATATGAAATTCAATAGGGTCATGGTAGTTTGAAGTCCGAAGTCAACTGCCGATTTATAGACTTTTTTGCCGTATGAGAATACGTTGCCCAGGGTGCACCACGTGGAGGTAAGTCTATCGCACACCCCTACTATTGTCGTAGTAATAAATCAAATTTTGCTTATGCTGTATTATCAGTAAGTAATTGCCAAATACTGAGAATGAAAAATGTGGTTCGTTTGAGCAATTTTTTATTGAAGCTTTTGAGATATTTTAAAGACAATGGATTTCTGTCTTTGTTTGCTAATTGCTAAGGTATTAGCGCGTTACTAAGGTAACGATTTAGCCGGAATGGAAAGGTAGGTAAGACCTACATTTTATGACATTACATTGCAATGAATATGCAAGACGATAAGAACTGTGTGGCTAAACTAACTTTTTTGCTTTTGTTTGTTGGAAATGGCCATTCGTAAGCGTGCTTCCACAACTTCAATGTCGATTCGGATTTATTTTTGCTCTATACCATTAATTACCATACTTCAACAATGTGGGGATCCATGGCAATAGCATTCCTAGAATAAGTGGTATTTTTTAACTCTATTGAATAGTAAATCTCTTCAACTTATCAATTTCAAATGTGCCGTGGTGGAAGAGCGGCTTTAAGATGAAATTTCCTAATATGCTACACTGATATGGCAGAATCGTCGATTCACTCAACAATTCATAAAGCCAGACGCTCAAATTCTCCATTTTATATTTACTTATATCAAATGGCAGACGTTTTTATAATTATCATTAGCCCTTAGTTGACCTCAGGCTTCACAGAGGGGAGGAACATCAAAACGAGAAAACAGTGGAGATGGGGAAGAAGAAGAGTGATTCAACGATGTAAAAGAGAGGCAGACAGACACAACTTCAGCGAAAGGGTGAGGTGAGTACTGTGGAAGTGGTCGAATATGACATAC